TGATTAATGTTTACATCCAAAAAGTTTGTGCTCACAGCCTAAATTTAAATGAAAATGAGTTGGAAACCAAACACAATGATGATTTAAAATAATCATAAGTAAAAGAGAAAAGTAAATATGTGATGTCTTAAGAAAATACTGTATGAGTTCCACAGACATTTGACATATAACATTGTCGTGTGTCAGTGTACCAGTGTGACTGGTTCATTACACTTCTAAGCACTTTTTTTTTTCAAAAAAATATATTTTTTTATGGTGCCCCTGTAATTTGTATCCAGCCTATGAAATATGCATACAGCAGCACTGTGGTCATTGTAGGCGAGCAAACGGTCACACTGAGCCAGATGGAAACCTAATCTGCAAATCACATTAGCGCTGCTGAAGCATCCTCTTGAACTAACAAAGTTAACAATTCTTGTGCACCTTCTCTTGTTAAACGAGTGACCAAACAAACATTCAAAGCCTCAAAATACATTTCTCACTGTGGAGATGGTTTATAACGTTGACACTTATTTCCAGTCAGATAAGGGTCGCAGGTGAGAGTGTACTTGACCTCCAAGTAGCCTGGATCGGCCGGGCAGTAGATTGTGTTTGTCCCTCCATCAAACTCCTGTTACATGATCCCAGAAGGTCATCATATTGCAAGTCCGAGTCCCAGATCTCGAGCTTCAAATCCAAGTTTGTTCTCACCTTCATAAAGAAAATATAAATATAATTGAAATACTATTAAAAATATTATTAAATGTTAAAATTCCGAGGTTTATGGATCATCCAGAGTAGGGCTGATCCCCAATAGTCGAAGATTCGATGCTTCAATGGGCGGAGCCTGATTCGACAATCTCACAGTCGAAGCTTCGCAGTGAAACTAGGATCATGCCATTTGGCGATATGGGGGTGCTCAACATCTGATTTTACATAGAACTACCAGTTCTCTCCCAATAAGTTAACATACAGCCCATTACAATATACATTTCAACGTTTAATGCTGAAATAAACATGTTGTTGATCTATCGATCAAGCCAGATGATACTCAGTTATATCTATTGATCAAGCCAGATGATACTCATTAGTCAGCTAAACTCCAAATGTGCCTTCAGGATGTTAAAACCTGGATGACGTGTAATTTCTAATGTTAAACTCAGATAAAACTGTTAAAAAAGTTATTGTACTGGGGCCCACGCACCTCCATGACGCATTATCTAAAGATAGGTTTCCATTGATGGCATCGCCCTGGCCTCCAGCACCACTGTGAGGAATCTGTCATTATCTTTGATCAGGAAATGTCGTTTAACTCTCACATTTAGCAAATATCAGGGACCGCCTTTTTTCACCTACGTAATATTGCGAAAATCGGGAACATCCTGTCTAAAATTGATGCAGAAAAACTAGTCCATGCATTTGTTACTTCTAGGCTGGATTACTGCAATTCCTTTTTTATCAGGCTGCCCAAAAAAGTCCATTAAGACTCTTCAGCTGATCCAGAATGCTGCAGCACGTGTTCTGACAGGAACCAGGAAAAGAGATCATATTTCTCCTGTTTTAGCTTCTCTGCATTGGCTTCCAGTAAAATCCAGAATAGAATTTAAAATCATCTTCTTACCTACAAAGCTCTAATGGTCAGGCACCATCTTATCTTAAAGAGCTCATAGTACCTTACTACCCCACCAGAGCACTGCGCTCCCAGAATGCAGGGTTACTTGTGGTTCCTAGAGTCTCCAAAAGTAGAGGAGCCAGAGCGTTCAGCTATCAAGCTCCTCTCCTGTGGAACCAGGTTCCAGTTTGGGTTCAGGAGGCAGACACCATCTCCACATTTAAGAGTAGGCTTAAGACTTTCCTCTTTGATAAAGCTTATAGTTAGGGCTGGCTCAGGTGAGTCCTGAACCATCCCTTAGTTATGCTGCTATAGGCCTAGACTGCCGGGGGGTTTCCCTTGATGCACTGAGCTCCTCTCTCCTCTACTTTTCTCTCTCTGTATGCAACCTCATCCCATTAATGCATGTTAGTAACTCGGCTTCTCCCCTTTCTGGTAGTCTTGTGATTCCTCGTCCCTCTCCTCCTATCACTTCCTGCAGGTGTTTCTGGCTCTGGAGCTGCGGAGTCTGGATCTGTGGGTGGGGTCACCTGTTGCCCCCGTGTTCCTCCTGGACATGCTCTGCTACAATTATTGTTACTAGTCCTATTGTTATTATCATTAACATTACTACAAATATCTGTACCATTATTCATTCAGTCTATAGCAACATTACCTTTACTGTCTGTACCTCTGTGTGTATATTGTGTAGGCTGCTCCCCTGTCACCCTCTTTATGTCTCTCTCTCGCCCTTTTCTCTTACCCTCAACCAGAGGCAGATGGCTGCCACTAAAAAGGAAGTTTTTCCTTGCCTCTGTCGCATAGTGCTTGCTCTTGGTGGGAATTGCTTGGTTTCTGTAAATAACATCATAGAGTGCGGTCTAGCCCTGAGCCCCATTTCAGAAAGTGGATTTAGTGAAAACTCTCTTAAGCCTGAGATGAGGGAAATGCTGGGTTTTCGGTTTTAGAGACCGAGATCAGAACCCTAAATCAGTAACCCCGGCAACTTACTCTGTGAACCAACCTCCTCGGGAGGAGGTTTACTTCAACAAACGCGGAGTTTCTCTCTGACTCCTCCCATCCTCCAGAGGCTGAAGCAGCTGTCTGAGATTTCCTAATTCATACTGTCAAAGCACATATGGGAATGCAATTACGTCTTTAGAAACATCGATATCGCGGATAGATAGGCTATTAGTTTTTAACCCGAACATGATCTTGAACATGACCACTTTAATGATCAATCTGTCATCAATGTATGGACAGAGAGTTATCTTTGGACATCGTGGATTTATCCTCAGCACAGAATAAAATCTATAAGCTATACTGTCCTTTTATAGCACTGAGACTCTGGACATTTAGGCAGCTGTCAGGTTGGCAACAGATGCACAAAAACACTTACCGTGACCTACATTACTGCAGTAATCACTGTTTACACTAATCTGTATAAAACTGATCAATGAACAGTAATCTTTGATATATCAAACCAATCAGTGTGACTACATATATTGTAGTCACACTGATTGGAACATATCATGTTGGATATGATGTGAAAATTTCTGGTTGGAAGATGACTGTGGTGCTGAAACAAATAAATGTAGCCTAGTTTAAAATTTAGTTTTTCATTAGGCTATTAGCTGCATAGCCTGAATGTGTTTTGACAGCATTTCATAAAATACGAAATGAGCAAGATTTTTTATTAATGCAAAATAGACGTCAAAAATGTACATCTTAATTGAATTTAAATGAATTGAAACAATCCAGAAATCCAGGGGGAAACAGAGCACAAAGCAGAACATACAACTGTAACGCAACAAAGACTGAACACAACAGAGGGAAAAATGTACTGGGACACACCACACACACAAGCAGGCACTGTAATTAGTCACAGGTGAACACATGAGGAATCAAGGCAAACAAGAAACAAAGCTAGATAAAACACCAAACACCAATGATTGAAAAATAAAACAGGAAGTAAAGTAGTGACAATACACAAGGACGAGTATTCCAAAATACAACAGACAACATAAAGCAGGAACATACCAACAGAATCTAAAAGAGAATACAGGGGCAGGGAGGGATAAACACTAACACACACACTAGGATGAGTCTAAACAGGAACATAATTCCACTAGGACCCAAAATCCACAACAAAATGTTGTTTTCCTGAGATAATGACATTTTAATTAATTCAAGATCTTAAATAGACAATAATGAATTAAATGCGATAGGCCACTGATAAAGCTGTAACCGTATAAACAGTCTTTATAAGTGACGCCCATTAATGTTACGTAGAGAAAGTTATCCCGTTATCTTGGAAAAACAACATTTGTATTTTCGAGATAATGAAAAATAACTCGAGATCTCAAGAAAACTGAAAAATAAAAGCTGCAAGCAGTGTTGCACGGACTCTCACACGTGAAGCTTGTAGCAGCTGTGCTGCAGACGACGCAGACGCCTCAGCTCTGCTAAATTTGGACACTACAGGTAGGAGTTAAACGTTCCTGTTTCCCATATATGGCGCTAGAGAACGCCAGGTAATTATACGTTTTGTTCCACTTCATCAAGTGTGTAACACATCGTGAAACATCATGTGATGATTATCACACACAGCTTACTTCCTGTTGCCAGGGTGGCTCTATGACTATAACTGAATTTTGGTATGTATGTGTTCAGGGTGGGACCATCAAACATGTCAAATTTGGTACAGATGTGAGCATATACACTAAAGTTATAACAACTTCCTGTTTCATGGTGAATCATCTATTTTCAACGCCATGCCACGGACATACCCTTTGACGAAAAACTTACAGTTTGTACAACTCCTAATAATCAATCGATTTAGACTGCACAGCAAAACGGTGTAGATCGCCAAAAATTATCATTAAATTCAAAATGGCCGACTTCCTGTTGGGTGTCAGGCATCACTCCAAGAGGTTTTTTTCTAAGTGTTATGTCCCAGTAGGGTATTAGGGAGTAACCAGTGATGTTAAGTAACAAAAGTAAGGATGGGAGACACCTGGTGAAAAAGTAACTGCACGTTCTATTATTAGAACAAAAGCAAACAAAATCACAGGAGTCTTACTCTGCAAAATGTCAAAACCTAAAGGAAAATCAAATTACAGCCCAACCGATATGGGTTTTTGGGGGCAGATGCCGATATTAAAGTGAAAAAGAGCCGATTTATGAGCCGATATTTAGATTTTGAGAATGATTTGGATAGTAGGCCTCTTTACTGTAAAACTACACTTAGAACAGGTATTACGATATTGAAAGCTGGTATGTCTGTGGCTATAAAACCTTTTTCGAATGATTATGTTAATAAAATAGAATACAGTCTCAAAAAGTGAACATGTAAACAATTTCACATCAAAAATATCTGCTGCTGGAAGGTGCAACTTTTTCAGCCATCTGTAAACAGAGAGAGTGAGAGAGAATAAGCATGTGTATTTCACTTTACACATAATCTGCCATAATTTCAATGTAGCACACCTAGTTCATCCCTTTACCAGCACTCTTTAATTCTAACCAAATCTACAAGAAACCATTTCTCATCATCGGTATAATTCATGCGGTCTATGATACAGTGAGCTGCTGTTGAATGCATCTTATACTACATGACTGTCTACAACAAGGACTTGCAACTTTGAGATTTCATTTAACTGTAACTATAACCAGCATGTTACAGCTCTGACTACAGCGTTTCACATCTACAACATCACAAAAAGAGGAGCTACAGGAAGCCGTGTTAGATTCTTGTTCAGCTCACGTTTATTTACATGTCCGCTCTGGTTTAATCATTTCAGACACGCTGACTAACTGCAGACAGGCGGCTCGTGGATATATTTAGAATACATCAGAAACTAGTTTAATTATGACGTTAGGTCCGTGTACGTCCTGATAGTTTGTTTTTCGTTTGAACCAATAAACGAATAAACGAGAAAACCACCTTTTTTGCGTTTGTCGTTTCAAACCAATAACGAAGAAACGGAAAAAAGAGCCGTTCTCCTGTTTATGGTTTCTAAATCCAAAAACGAAAAACGACTAAACCAGATTCAAATAACGGTCCGCGACCAAGATATGTAAAACGTACAGACCCGGTGGGTATCTCTGGAATCCGTAA